CCAAGGAGAAATATGTAGGGGAGACCGGGGAGAGTTCGGACACAGGGAGACATCGGACACATTTGAATTTCGCACATTTTTGAAGATGCACTGTTGTCATTTGGTAAACACAACCTTATTTGTACATAATTATAGGTTATGTATTGACAGCTGTGATTTCGGTCGTAGTCACAGAGTTATCTATTGTGAAGTGTTTTGTCGAGTTTTGTTCTAAAAATATCGGTGCAATCCAGAAGATATATTTTAAAATACATAGACTTACCACGTATAAAACTTTGGTGCTGTAATCTACTATACTTATTTCATTAATTTGCGTTTATGTTGTTGCAATATTTAGGTAAGTTTTTTTATAAACCCATTGTATTACCAATGTTTGCATTAGGGGAGAGTTCGGACACAGTGTCCGAACTCTCCCCTGTGTGTCCGAAGTCTCCCCTGATCTGTAGTTATTCTATTTTTCTCTTACAGCTCATAATGCCCCGTACATATACAAGGGTAACAGAACGACAATTTTCTGCAGACACTATGAAAAATGCCACATCAGAGGTGCTTGACGGCAAATTGAGCATTCGGAATAGCGCCAAAACCTACGGCGTTCCTAAATCTAGTCTTCTAGATTACATAAAGAAAGCTAGAGCTGTGGGTATAGACAACGTAACATTCTCTCCAAATTTCAAGCAATCTCAAGTGTTTACCGATATAATGGAAAAAATGCTTGAAAAATATTTATTAGATTGTTCTTCCATGTTTCATGGACTAACGCCTAAAGCTGCAAGACGTTTAGCTTTTGAATTTGCCAAGAAAAACCATGTTAAAATGCCTACTACATGGAGCGAAAATGAAGAAGCTGGAACAGACTGGTTTTCAGGTTTCATGAAACGTCATCCTGTACTATCTATTAGAACACCTGAAGCCACTAGTCTCGCTAGAATGACGAGTTTTAACAAAGTTACTGTTGAGACGTTTCAAAATAAATTAGAAGAAGTTTTACGTCGTCATTCTTTTGGATCTTCAGCGATTTTCAATTTAGATGAAGTGAGTCAATTAACAATTTTGTTTAGTTATTTTGATAATTAATATCACTTATTTTTTAGACTGGGGTTACTACAGTTCAGCGTGTACCTAAAATAATTGGAAGAAAAGGTCAACATCAAATAGGGCAGGTGACCTCACGTGAACGTGGAGAATTAGTTACACAAGTGGGCATAATTTCTGCTGATGGAAAAGCATTGCCTCCTATATGGGTATTCCCACGGCAACGTTTTGATGAAAACCGCATGATGAAAGGGGTTCCTCAAGTTGCTTTAGGATTAGTATCTCCTTCAGGATGGATGACAAGTGATAATTTTTTGAAAGTACTTAAACATGTTGTCAAAAATACACTCTGCTCTGATACTAATAAAATTTTACTAATCATGGATAACCACGAGTCCCATCTCTCAGTGGAGGGACTTGATTACTGCAAAGAAAATGGAATTACTGTTTTGACACTACCACCTCATACTTCTAATAAGTTACAACCTTTGGACCGAATAGTGTTTGGTCCTTTCAAAAAGTTTTTTAATGATGGTGCTAATTCCTGGATGTTGTCTAATCCTGGTCAGACACTTTCTATATATGACTTGCCTGCTATTTGTTCTTCTGCTTGGGACAGAGCTGCCAATCCAGTTAATATTAAAAGTGGTTTCAAGTGTACAGGTATTTGGCCTTTTGACAGGAATATATTCGGAGAAGAAGAGTTCTTATCTTCTTACGTGACAGATAGACCAACGCCTACTACAGAACCGGAACTCGGAAAAAGAGATTTTGATAGCTTGTCCAAACCGGGGCCAAGCAAAGTTTTAGTTTCTCCGAGTCACTCAACTTCTCCAAACATCATTTCTCCAGAAATGGTTAGACCGTTTCCCAAGGCTCCAGAACGTAAAACATCAAATAGAGGCAGGCCTAAGGGCAAATGTATCATTGCCACGGATACTCCAGAAAAAGACGAAATTGCCAACAGGAAACTAAAACGATCTGTTACAAGGAAAGTAAATCCTAAAAAAAGACAGAAAGTCACTAAAAAAATTGTTGAAACATCTTCTTCTTCTTCCTCTGAAGACATAATGAGCAATGAAAAATCCTCTGACTTCATAGAGCAAGATGACGAAGTGGATACAGAAGAAACAAATATTGCAAATGGTCAGTTTATAATTGCCAGAGTTTATGGAAAAACACCAGCTACATTTCGGCACTATGTTGCAGAAATTCAGGAAAAACAGATAAAAGGATACGACGTAAAATTTTATAAAAAACATGCCACTTCTAATCGGTTTATCTCCACTGAAGAAGATGCTTTTGTTATATTTGAAGACATAAAATGTATTTTACCGAAGCCCTTGAAAGATACACGTCAAAGATATGAAAATATGATCTATTTTAATACAGATTTAGAAGATTATTCATTGCATTAATTTTTTAATATCTAAACATGTCTATTTTTTTTAAATACATTTTTATAAGTAACATATGTTGTACTGTCCGAAGTCTCCCAGTACTGTCCGAAGTCTCCCAGTTCCTAGTCCGAAGTCTCCCCGTTTCTGGGGAGACTTCGGACAAATGACCCCCTGCAATATTTTTTTATTTTTGTTGTTAATTTATTGATTTGATATATTCTGCTCTTGATTGGTTATGCCTGAACCTTGGAAGCTTAAGTTAACTACTTTAAAAGGTAAATATATCAATACACTTTTCTAATAAAAATTAATTTTTAAAAATGGTCCGAACTCTCCCCGGTCTCCCCTATATAATACCTACACTGTATACTGTAAAAATTTTAAAAAGTTTTTTTGCAATTAACTCGGTTAATGATTTATGTATTTTAATTTGTAATTAAATATTAATTCATACATCATATGATTTTAAAAGATTTTAGAAATGAATGATTTTTTTACATTAGACTGGTCTACCCTAGTCAAGAAAAAAATAGTTGAAAAATCTTATACAGGTTTTCTAAAGTTTGATTATAAAGATTCTAAAAGTTATATGAGGGATTTTTATTGTTTTTAAACAATCTTAACGTTATATGGAACAAATATCCACAACCTCAGTCACGTGTAAGGTAAGTGGTGGCTCAAGTGCTATATATATTTCTTACTAAATTTGTGGGTTTTAATAATTGCGTTGTATATTGTTTAAATCCATCAATATACTAAATCCTGTGCCAGGTCCCACCAGATATGCCACTCAATGAGATTTTTTTTCACTCAGAATTTACTCTTAGTGGAAACTAACAGAGAACGAGGTCGCATATGTAATTAAAAAATGTTAACTGTAAAACAAATATCACTGGAATAAAGTTTTAATAGTTTATAGTAAAATACTTTCATTACAGTTATAAAATAAATTTACAGATTTTTGGCTATAAAGCTATAATAATAAAATTAAAATAATAATAAATATTATTGGTTCAAACAAAAGTTGTAGATCATAAAAAGTTCTTTAAGATTGAAAATAAATTAATATTTAATTAAAAATTAAAATACATAAATAATTAACCGAATTAATTGAATTGCAAAAAAACTCTTATTTTTTTAGCACTTTATAAATGTTAGCTACTAAAAATTGTGACAGTTAATGAGTTATTAAAGTGTGCTAAATTTCAAACAAATCGACCAAATAGTTTATAAGTTATTCAATTTGTTTATCCCAGAGAGCGATTATTTAAACAACTGTACTTGCCCAAACAGTCACTCTAGCTAGAGGTATTTTGCAAATCGCAATCGATTCTTTGAGACTTCAGTTTTAAGGTATATGAAAAAAACACTTCAAGATTTTATTAAATTTGTTAATAAAAACAGTTTGAAAAAACTGACTCTTAAGCTTACAAACATTTATAATAACATTTATTTTTGTCACACGGTTGTAAGTAGGCTCAATAACACGTTGGTGACATTATTAAGAGCTGAAAATTGAACAGATTCTAAATGAAGATATACATTTTATGATTCAACTCATAGATGGCATACACAGTGAAGGAGTAAAAAGTTATAACCCGTTAAAGTGATGGTAATCGTAAAACACCGCCACGGAAAAGTGGAGGGGAGAACTGTGTGCTGCAATATCTCGGCCTGTTTCTTTTTATTGGTCATAGGTTTTTTTTTGAAAAGTATGTTATTTCACTAGTTTTTCATTGATCTTAATTCACTTACAAGCCTGTGACATAAAAAATAAGACAGTGATTATAAACGTTTATAAGCTGAAAAGTCAGCCCTCTTTCAAACTGTTTTTGAGTAAGTGAGAGCGCCTACCAAAGTGGCGTGGCAAGTAGCACGCGTCTAGCATGTTTCTTAAAATGTAACCACTGAAAACGAATGATTCAGCGTACACCAAAATGACAGTGACGTCATTCATTCTAATCATTCGTTTTCATTGGTTATATTTTAAGAAACATGCTAAACGCGTGCTACTTGCTACGTGCTACTTGCCACGCCACTTTGGTGGGCGCTCGCCCTAACAAATTTAATAAAATGTTTTTTTAATATACCTTAAAACTGAAGCCTCAACCAATCAATTGCTATTTACAAATTGTGGGATCACTACTTGGCAAGTACAGTTGTTTAAATGATCGTTCTCCGGGATAAAAAAAATGAATAACAAACTATTTGGTCGGTGTCTTTGAAATTTAGAAATTACTGCAAAAATAATGATTTTTTGCAATTTTATCTGTCAATTCTTTATGCATTTTAATTTAGAAAATCAAATTCAAGAGCATTTTATGATATACAACATTTATTGGAACTATTTTTGTCGAAAATGTAAAAGAAACTCATTTACTTTTTAGAATCTTTAAATTCATGTATGAGATTTTTTCAGCTTTTTTTCCTTCCTTGACTGGGTAACACCTCTAGAGTTGACTTTACACCGAAAATCCAGAGAAATAATATCAGAGCATACTGCTAAATCTCTGTTGTTTGATCGGTGTAAATGAAAGTATTATGCGAATAAATACACATACTCACCGTTCTATCATACTGGAAATAGTGTCCTCGGTAATAACTTCCGCCAGTGGTTTATTTCTCAATAAATATGTGGAAGCCTGAGTCAACATATGCTGATAAAAGTCTTCTAGGACTACCTTTCTACAAAATAAAATGCGTTGTGTTAGACCATAATAACGATAAGAATAATGTTCATTAGTGACAATTACTAGATGAAAGCCACACATTTATAATTAAATTTGATGATTGATATGTTTATGTTTGATGTTTTTTGACTGATATGCAAATATTATGTAGCTTTTAGCAAAAGCTTGCTATTGCTTTGATGAACTAAATGCCATATATTATGGGATTGGAGGACAAATTACTCTTATTGCAGCGTTCGATGGCTGTCCAAACTGAATGCACTGGCAAGATTTTGGAATTTGAAAGATTGTATTTTGCACTTTTGTAAAATTCTGACACGGTATGTAAACTAAAGTTTTAGTTTGAGGAGGTATTATTACTAGGGCAGGATAAGTAAAACTCTTTGTTCTTTTATCTAGCTTTCGCAAAATTTATTTGCTTCTTTAGGATACGCTAAATATGGTTATAATTATTTTATCAGTAAATACAATGGAATTAAAAGACACAATTTGAAATGAATATTCGACAAAATAATAATTTTAATTAAATAGATTCGACAATTGTACGCAACTGATTTTAGAGTAGGAATTTTGTTTACGTTTTAATTTCTTACACAATTTGATCATAATATAATATATATTAATAAATTGTATTTATAAATATATATTAAATTTAGATTAATAACTTTAAAAACTAATTATTGTTGTGTACTGTGATTGTGATATGCCAAAACAAATAAATAGTCTGTAGAAAGCTGATAAGCTTTCATATAAGATAGATGATTTTGAACAAAAAATAATGCGGGACGTTTTTACTATTAAAGCCCTAAAAGAGGTAAGTTTAAAATTTAGAATATATAATTTTGTATTAAAATGTTTTCTTATGTATTTCTTCACTTACTAACTATTCTGATGTTTTGGCAACGCTGTGGGGTTCTGACTACGTAAATCTTGAATGACGTGCAAGCTTTTTTATATGAAAAATGTCCACATGCATATTTTTTGAATTTTATGATTCTGATCTTGTTAAAGGTTTCACATATATTTTCATATTCACAACTCATATACATATATCCCAACGACAACTGTGCATCCCATATTTTTATGGGATGCACAGTTGTCGTTTTTTTTTTGAAAGATACTCTTACATATTAAACAGTTTATGAGATATTGGAATATTCGCCATAAATGAATGTCGAATGTATCAAAATTAAAAGTTACTTTTTATTTTATATGTATATTAAGATATCGTTAAAAGGAATGTTTTATTACATAGTACCCTCTTACCTTTTACTTGTTATAACGTTCAGTTCTCCTCTCGTAAAAAGACCTAAACCAGCCTTTCTCACATCGTCCAATGATACATATAAATTTCCAGTTTCTGCTTCAAACGTTGGTATATTTTTTCCGTGTACAGTATAAAGCTCTTCACTTTCAGCAACAACAACGTCGTCCATTGCGCAACTAGAATAATAAACATGATTAATAATGATTAAACATAATAGCGAAAAAAATATAATAATGTACAATCCGATAAGCGAGAGCTGGCGGGTTGCGCGTAGAACAAATTGAAAAGTGTAAGGGATGGCTCATGTTATTGCTGTCGGCTAGGAGTTCACGTCGTAGTGATTAGTGCTAGATTTCTGAGTGTTGCCAAGCATTTACATGTTTATTTGGAGTGGCCCTATATTATAAACTATTATTTATATTTATTAAAATGCCAAGTTTATTAAAGGGCACACCTTTCGATCTCAAGCACGAGAAATAATTTTCAATGTTTTTAAGTTTACAACCCAAGAAACTAATGCATAGTTGATTTAAAAAAGATACAAGAACGTACACTAAACTGGTAATTATAAAACTAATTTTCAAAATAAATTCAGATTTAAATAATTTAATTTAAGTTACAATCAATCAATAAATAAAAAATTACAGTGCATTAGATTACCAGTAAATAATAAGTAAACAATGGATAAGTTAATTAGTAATTTACAGTTCACTATTAGTCATAATAAAATTGTTATTTTAAGTAAAATTGTTATATTAACTGAAGAATAATGTTATAGGTAATATATCTTTATATGTATTATACTGTTTATATAACTTTTCACCTAAGTGAGTTAAAACTTATATTAAAAGAGACAAAGATTTTTTTGAAAATTTTGATTTTAACACCTTTATCAACGTCTGTTATGCTTTGCAATTTTTAGAAAGCACAGATAAAAGCGGAAATCTGAATTGTGTTTCGAAACTATTTTACGGTTTTATTGTCAGATGTCGCTATTGCGTCCGTATTGAAGCAATTTTAGTGTTGCTTCTTAAAAGACAGAAAATATTGATCTATCACGTTGAGAACACCTTTGAATAACTGTTCTGATGAGACCTATTAGGTCGAAATGCGTATCAACAGAAACAGATACAAAGGCGCTGTTTGCGTGAAATCAAATAATTTGCTGTCTTCACAATAAAATTAAATGTTTGTTTTTCTACAGTATGTCTGAAACAAGGGAAGTAAAATTTACATTATCGTAATTATTTATATGGTTGCAAGATCGGCAGAGATTTTTAGTTGAGGGTGATGCAGTTTTTGGAGCTGACCACGTTATATTTTGTAAATTACGCCTTACGTTTTCTACTAATAACTTCATGAGACTGTTGGGGCAATTTAGCTGATGGAACAGCATTTTTCTTCAGTATTCTTAATTTAGTTTCAGGTGTTTATAAAGTAAATTAAGTATAAATATAAATAATATTTTAATCAACACTTGGAAAGTCATATTCTTTGGTTATATGTTTGCCAAACTTTTCTCATATTCTCGTCCAGCTGAAACTTGGAATGGAATTTTTTTTGTGAATTATAATAGGATGAACATTGAGGAACACTGCAATAGTTTTTTGAAGTCGAATTCATTGTATATTACAATATAAACCGGTCGCTAATATGCATACAAAATAATGACAATTTAAGTTACAGTCCTTTGAAATGTGGTGTTACAGGAGGATGCTTAGAATAACATGGACACAGAAGAAAACTAACGCGTAATTATTGCGAGAAATGGGCAAAGAATGCGAAATAATAAACACAATAAAAATAAGAAAGTTACAATTTCTCGGACACATAATGAGGGGACAGCGATATGAACTGATAAGACTGATAATACAGGGAAATATAAGAGGAGGAAGGAGTATAGGAAGGAGAGTCTCATGGTTGAAGAATTTAAGGACCTGGTTTAAATGCAGTTCTATAGAACTCCTCAGAGCAGCAGTAGATAGAGTAAAGATAGTGATGATGATATCCAACCTCCGATTGGGAGACGGCACTTAAAGAAGAAGAATAATCCTCTTGCTCTCATTTTGTGTTCTATTTTAATATGCATACCCAAAGCGAAAGGGAGAAACCAGCGAGTTCTAGATTGAATATAGACATTCTCCTCTCTTTCTGATGACACAAATATCTGAGCACACTGCATAAATATCTCAATGTTAACAGAACTTGCCGTCACCATTAGGTTTACCACAATCATCAACCAAAATATATTTAGGTACTTTGGACAGAGCTAGACGAAGGGAAGTTATGGATATATTGGTGGTTGAAGGAAAAGTAGATGCTAAAATAACTCAAGGAAGATCGCCACTTCGATGGTCAGACCAAATAAAGAGCACCACCTTTCTCTCTCTCTGAGGAAGCACATCACGCACAGGAGAGAGAAAGAATGGATAACAACCATAAGTCGAATACCATAACGTCACCACATCCTTACGAAGGATAAATGAGAGAAGATGAGGAAGTCTCTTCTTTACAATTTATTACAGGTTATTTCTACAGCAAATCCTAACAAATATACGATTCGGCAAGTTTTCAACTACCGTACAAGTTATTCAGTATGTGGAACAAAGATAACACTTAACTGTTTGAATACGAGTGAGACACAATCCACGCATGTTGGAGTAACGAATCTAATTTTTAAACAGTGTTGCAAAATTTCTGTTACATCATTCCTTCTAAAATATTAATCGGATACATTGTAGCGTTTTAAATTTTATAATACGTCTCTGTTCGTTTATCTCGTCAGTACGAATAAAGATTGCCATAAAATCTGTGTTTGTCTTTTACGAAAATCTTAAATGCGTAAATAACGCTGGATATATTTTTTGTCTATGTGTACTTTTAAATCCCACAACCTTTTGTTACAAAGTCAGGTAGAACTCCGGTTTAAAAATACGTGCTATTTTGTTAATTTGTATTATGTTATATCTATTTCGACAATTTTTTTGTCGCCTAGAGGATTATATTTCATGATGCCCCCCTAATATAAAAAAGAGTTTTAGGGGGATTATTTTGCGTTTTTGGTCTGAAATCGAACGAAGGTTAGGCAGGTTGAGAAGAGTAACGAAACATGAAGGTTGTATAGGGCGGCCAGAGTGGGAGACGTATTAGCGATGTAGTTTGCAAAAGTCGACAAATTTTGTTGAAGAGTGGAATAATTACTCTCTGTAATATGACAGATTTAGACAAGAGTAACCACTAAATATTTAAGGGATTTGTGCAGTATAAAATAATATGGAAGATATTTAAAGCAGTATATAGGGTGTGCCCACTATGTGCGATTGATTTGGTTCCAACCTCAATTTTATTTGTTTCTGGTCGTTTTTCCAGTCCAGTTTGAAGCAGTAGTTTTGTATAGCAGAGGTTTCAGTTCTCAGAAGTTTGTGCCATTTTACTGTAGAGATAATAGAGTTATTTATTGCTGCTTTTGAAAATCGTCCTATTCCGACAGAGAAAACTTGGAAATTTTCGGTTGCATAAATACCTGTATGAAATGTCCTCCAACGGATCAACTACGATCGAAAGAAATCTCTGTTGAACGCGAAGCTCGTAAAATGTAGTTTGTTTAACTGCTGAAGAAACGCATTGTTCGAGTAGACACATTACGGATGAAGTTGACATAAATGAGAGAACTGTAAGGAATATTTTAAAAAGAAACACATACAATTACTATAAAGTGCAATCTACCCAAGAACTTTTTCCAGACGATCATTTTAAACGTATGTAATTTTGTGAAACTGTGATGAAGAAATCGAATGAGAACAATTTAAAGAGTTCATTTTTTAAAAAGAGAACTTTTAAAAAAATGTTTTGTTTTCTGATGAATCTTCATTCACAAACCATAAACGTCATAATCCATCTGTCGTCCGCTATTGGTCTAGGTAAAATAGACATTTGAGTATTGCCGTGAAAACACAATACCCAAAGAAATAAAATGTGTGGACTGGAATTTATAACGATAATATAATTGGTCCATTTTTTATTACGGGAAATCTGAATGGACGTAAGTATCTAGATTTATTACGCAATCAGATTATTTCAGCAGTTCAAAACCTTGCGGTCAACTTCGATGATGTCTCGTTTCAACAGGATGGTTGCCCAGCACATGATGCAATCGAAGTTACAGATTATCTGGAACAAACATTCACTGGACGATTAATTTCTAAACGAGGAACAATGAAATGGCCCCCTAGATCACCAGATTTAGCATCTTTGGATTATTATTTCTGGGGAATGCTGACGAAAACACGGATCATTTTCTGGTAAAAGCGAAGATAAGGACAAGAATAGCGTCCAAAAAAAACACACAAGAATACACCAACACAATTATGGAATACCGAAGTTCTACGTAATAAGGAGACAGAACAGAAATTTCAAAAGTCTATAAAAATCGCTCTAACACAGAGAGAAGACTAGAACAACATAAACTCAGCTTGGAAAAATATCAAATTAGCTCTGACAAGCGTATCAGATGAAATACTAGGTCACAAAAAGAAAACAACAAAAAAATTGTTCGATGATGATTGCCTGAACTCCATAACAGCAAGAAATATGGCTAGAAGGAACATGCTACAAAACCCCTCGCACAACAACAATGAATTGTATAGACAAAGAAAAACAGAGACAAGAAAACTAATGAAAAGGAAGAAGAGAGAGTATCAGGAACAAATAATCAGAAATATAGAAGAAAAAAGAAAGAACAAACAAGCGAAACGGTTCTTCAAATGAGTTTCAGAGATCAAGACCGGGTACCAAGCACGAACAGGAAACTTCCTTCAAAACGACAGTGGACAGCTTATCACGGATGACAAGAGAATCCTAAAAACCTGGAAGGAATACTTCTATCAACTATGGAATGACCAATCTAACAGAAATAAATCAAACATAGAGGTACATACAGCTGAAATAGAAGACCAATACCCGACATACGAAGAAGATACGATACAGACAATTAAAAAACTTAAAAATAATAAGACACCAGGTAGCGATGGTATACCCGCAGAGTGCTTAAAACATGGAGGAGAAGCGTTGTACAGTTCTATATACAAGTTAATTCAAGACATTTGGCGAGAAGAAACAATGCCAGATGAATGGAAAGAAGGGGTTATTGTACCAATACACAAAAAAGGAAACAAAA